TTGGACAATTATAACAATCTCAAGATAGAGTAACGTCTTGGTCGTCGTCTTGTTCATCGTCATCATCTTGAGGTGACCGGCTGCTAATTTCTTTAAATTTCCTTTCTGACATAAACTAAAATCGATTCAAAATTCAAAAAAAAAAAGATTTTGCAATCTTACGTAGAAACACAGACGTTCAAACAAAAAAGAGAAGATCGCCTCCAAGGCAAGATTAGTGTAGGCTATATCAAAGGGACAGTTCCCACGGCAACAGTTACGTAAGGGGAGTATTTCCTCAGCATTGCATAACAAACCTGCTCTCTAACCGGTATTACCTAGAGTATAACGGAGTTTACATGTAAATAGGGTAATGTGTTTGCAGCAAACTCTGACGAGCAAACACGACGATGATACAGTAAATCTCTGGACTAAATCATACCGTGATTGATATATTTAGGTTCAGTTTATAGGAATTAATTGGATTCTGAAACAGGATTAATCTAGATTTAATTTTGTATTGCAGTGTATATTTGTTAGTTGCAAAATTGTGTTTGAAAGAAGCCGATAAATGGTTTGTAAAGTTGTAATATTAAAAGCGTTTCTATGTTACATTATTTAAAGGAGTGTAGAATGTGGACGATTTGAGGTATTTGGACTACTGGGTGTGTCTATCGCAGACATGTCACCGCATTCCTCGCAAATTTTCACTTGTTATAGAGACGTGTCAATGCTACGGGGAAAACAAAAAAGATTCTATTTTTAAATATTTGTCCCAGCGATTTTCGCCAATAATGTATAAACTGCAATAAACCTAGTGTGTGTTTTGGTTATTTTCCAGTATCAAAGGATGTTTTAGCTTTATTCTCCACCGGTGAATGAAACCACTTTAGTGATAGAATTATTTATTTAAGGGCGCAGACTTACTGTTTTTGTCCAAAACAGGTACATGTAGCTCATTGTGGAGGTTCCGCGGAAATACAACAATACAGCTGCTGTATCCCACTGTTTGTTATTTTCAGAGGCGACTTATGTTTCTACGAGGAACACGGTCTAACTGCTGCTCCATTACAACGCTTTTGACCTCTAACATTTTCTGTCCTACCAATTAGTTCCTTTGTACGATTTTTTCCTATGTTCTTGTCTTCACATCGCCTTACCTGTTGCAAGAACTGTTCCAAAATATATGATTGAAGGACCCCACATGACTCGACTTGTAGACGGCATCCTTGTTCGGGTTTATGGACAATGAGATATCAACATCATTACGTAGTTAAGTATCTATCAAGGCACTTCAATTTCTCAGAAAGTTTTTTTTCAAATCGCCAGGATACCTCCGACAATTATGTCAGGCACTCCGATTCTTAACATAGATCAGATAACGGACCAGGATAACCTAACGAATGAAGTCGAACATACCAACGAGTGTTTAGTGAAGTACGGCATTATTGGCGACTTTTAAATAAGACACCAAGGTTTTTAAAAGGTCGCTTTGGGGGTACTGCAAGTTCATAGAAAGTTTAATCTAATACTAGACAGACTAGCTAAGAAACTCGTGTCCAGCCATGAGTTAGGTTTAGTACTTTAATCCCTAAGACAAAGTATTTTTGACGTTGACTACGTTGCGCTGTCCCCTAGACAGAGATGGGGCTTTTGGGTTGATTTTATCATTTTAAGAGAACAAGTTTAAAGTGAGGATAAAGGGAGAGAACCCGAATAACACTGTACGATTCGTTATTAAAGCCGAACTATAGCGTTACTGCCACTATCTCACACAACTGTACATGTGTATGATCTATAGTGAAATAAATTGTCACATTTTGTATGACGTAAAAGCCCAACTGTAGCGTTACTGCCACTATCTCACACAACTGTACATGGGTATGATCTATAGTGAAATAAATTGTCACATTTTGTATGACGTAAGAGCCTAACTGTATCGTTACTGCCACTATCTCACACAACTGTACATGTCTATGATCTATAGTGAAACAAATTGTCACATTTTGTATGACGTGAAAGCCTAACTGTAGCGTTACTGCCACTATCTCATGTCTATGATCTATAGTGAAACAAATTGTCACATTTTGTATGACGTAAGAGCCTAACTGAAGCGTTACTGCCACTATCTTACACAACTGTACATGTCTATGATCACCAGTGAAACAAATTGTCACCTAATTTTAACGGATTCTATATGTGTTGCAATGGACGCCGGTATTGTGGATGAACTTTGTACTTAATATAGATCCTAGTTGTTGTATCATATTTACTGTATATAATGTCCTTGGTCATAAACATGCAGTTGAGCTTTCTGTTAACCATGTGCTACATATTTGAGCTTGGAATCTGAGTGTATTTACTTGTTTGTAGCTAAGTTAGTTAATGTACTTTATATATTTAGTGGAATAATTCATTATCACTTAAATATTGAATATCTTTGTTATTTGTGTATATCAAATTTGTATTACTGGTTATATCATGGGTAGACTTGATAGCTATTCTATTTTTGTACAAAGAAGAACGTGAATGTACTTACTTTATAATAGAATGCCTATTCTTTACCTGTGTAAAGATTGTTATTAATAGAAACTTAAAATATCTAGAGTAAACTTGTTATTTTGTTATCTGTTCAGAGTCGTATTATAATTTACTTTCAGATGTAGATTATAATTGGGATGTAGTTATTTCTATGTGGTTGTGCAGTGGGTATCATTGGATGTATTTGTAAACAATTAATTTTATGGCATCATGAATGGTAAGAAGAATGTATGTGTCTGATGCATAGCAATGTACTACGGCTTTGTATGGCTTTTATCAAATAATGAGGCAGGCGTTCTGGTAGAAATAATGTAAATACAAGATGTATTCGTAATGACAAAGAATTTAATTCAATGTCCGAATAAATGAAGGGTAATAACTCAAACCAAATTTGGTCTTATTTCTATTGTAAAGAATTTAAGATGTAAACATTTTTTATCGCATTTTAAACCTTTTTCAAAAGCTTTTATGAAGAATGTAAGAAATTGCAGATCTGTTGACTTTTGTTAAAGATTACCTCCCTAATGTCAGTGGAGATCAACAGCTACCAATCATTTGATTATGTTATATCACCTGACAGGTACATAATTATTATCTTGTAAGTTAGCTGCATTGTATTAAAGAAATATTGTCCTAATATTAGGATTGAGATTCACCAAGTTGGTGTGGATAATAAATGCTAAGTTTGTTTTGAACACAAACAGTAATTGAAAACTCATTTTGCGAGTTTTCGAACACGTCTGTTTACTTTGTCAAGCAAAGATGGCAAGCTTGATGAAGGAAACAGGCGTTTTCGAAATCTCCAAAAATACGTTTTCAATTATTGTTTGTATTGAAAACGAACTTAGCATTTAACTTTCGGTCTAATTTTAATAACCTTCTTGTATGTGACTTTTTTAACGGTTTTCATTTCATTTTTATAAGAGGAAGTAAAGAACGAATAATGATAGGAAGCGCAAAGACCAAATTGATAGTTTTTGTAGTATTCTGGTAGACATATTTGTACAAACATGGGATTAGTGAGCTTACCGTGACCTGCGTGTACCCCTGTGGTGGGGGACACTGCGAGGTGAAGTTACACTATAGAGGGCAGTAAGTAGCCAGTACCGGCTTATCTTACACTAACTTATCACCGATAGGGAAATATTTACATAAACAAGCCTATCACAGATGCCTCGATCACCGAGAATTCAAACATACCGTCAGCTACCCTTGGTCAGAAAACGCAGAACGGTTCACGCCTGTGTTTGAATTGGGAAACACGACAGTTATAAGTGATTTCGATATATAACAATGTTTTCATATCAGTTTGAAGCGAACAGATTTTTTCCCCATTACCTGAACAAACATTAGCAACAACATTCGGTATGTTTAGGGCAACAGTAAGTGAAATGATCGCAACTCGCCTCAGGAATTAATGCATATATCCCCAGAACAAAATATGAACTTATTCAGTTAGAATGTGAACAAATGTATATGAGCGGAGTTGATATACGTCCGCCGTCTTCAATTCCTACTATATTTTTTTCACCATCGATGGATATAGATATATTATGAACAAAACATTTTAGCCGCAAATGGCTTGTTAGAAATCAGGAGTAATATAAATAGACAAATTATGCCTCCTTGCTAAACACCTGGTCGAGTGAGGAAAGAAAATGACCAATAAATGTCACTTCGTACAATCATACACTCATTAACACGGGTACATGTTTCGCTACCCATGCCAATATTACATGTTTGTGTAAGACATTTAAATGATGGACATTTAATGTTCCACTCACCACACTGAAGCATTTTAGAACGTATTTCTGTGAGATAGGAAGGCTGAGTGATTGGGAATGAGAGATTTGTTTTTTGTAAAACATTTGAAACTGCATTGTTACCAAATTAAATTATTGAACTTGAAGTCGACTTTTGGATCTTTACTGAATATGATCATTATCCAGGGGTGAATGAGTTACCTTAGAGAGTATAACCAGTTTTAACTCCGCCACTTGTCTAAGAGCAGACAACTCAAGAGGAGGTTATTCCTGTTTACCAGTATCTAACTAGTCAATTGGAACTGAGTAATTCAACAGAAGTCAGTTTGTATTGGCAATCTTTATTGATGCTGGAACCAGTACATGGAAAATGAAAACAGTTTATGAAGAAGAAATGACGATATTTTTAGTACATTTGTCATAACTTAGGACTTTCAAGGATGACATTTCTTTAGTCCTTTATGGACTTGTTATTAATCAGATTAATACCCAACTATTATGTAGCAGCCATCCACGCTATAATATTTGTGGTTGGGTCGAACCACTTGGCTGTTACAAAATTGTTAATATTTAAACAGAAATCATTACTCATAAGCTCACCATGATTGTAACAAATATAAAATACAATATGGAAAAAAGGAACTTATAGTTAAATATAAAGAAATTCTGTCCATATGTTTTTTTTAATTGTATTTATCTTACAATAACCTTGCACCTATGGCTAAGACTGTACAGATAGGTTCACCACACAAAGCACTTCCTGTTTGTGAGGTGATTACGACCCCGCTTCTTCAGGTTACCGGAGATAGGTTACGACACTCGACCATTGTAATGCAGGCCCAACAACCTTTCTGTGACTCCTGTTTGTGTAGGGCAAAGTAAGGCCAAGATAAGGAGAAAACTGTTTTATGGAACCCTGTCAGAACATGCTTATGTGAAATACCAGTGTATATATTTTTGAACAAATACAAATTACAACGTAAACATATAACCCAGTCTCATAGAACATGTCTTGGTTTTCTTTTAATATAATATTGTTTGAATAACGAAATTTGATAACTTTTTTTTTTCAAAATTGCTCCGTTTTAAGAAATGAGATATTGCAATTTGCTATTTTTTGCAGATGACTGCACATTTGAAATATGTTATGCTTTGATTAGACGTAGGAAATATTCTTTTTGTAGATAGCAGTGATTACATTGATAACAATGGCGTTAACCCTAACGCAAATCACATATATCAATAATTTGTACTGCAGCTCATAACCTTAACTAAGAAAAGAACACGCACAAACACACATAATCAACACAGTTTTATCGGTATGAAGTATTACACAGACCAATGAATCAATATGAATAAGCAAGTTTTGTTCAATTAAATTTACGGTAATTCTAAAACGATTTTTGGGTGGGATGGACGCAAGTCGAACGGATAGGGCACAACGCCCATCGCGCAGTTTTCGAATGTCGCCAATGTTATGTGTGAAGTACATGTATCTTCAACGTCATAGGGCAGGGAATCGAATCCGGTCGTCATATTAATAGGCGTGAGGGCTACATGTACCAAGGCATGACTAACAAAATTTTATTTAATATAAAATTGTAAATTTTATCGCATTTTTATATGTCTTGATTTCATGGATATTTTTGAAATTGAGAAGATATTGATTTTGTTGTTACCATGTAATTTCAACATTTTTTATGATAACGCTACGTGAGTTTAAGTTGATTTACTGTCGATGCAGACTAAGAGTAAATAGCTATAACTATTCTCGCCAGTGAATGAAGATCCTATACATTCCAAAAACGAACACTAACAACACAGACTTAAATTTGCGTGGCCTGTGAGTACAAACTACCCCCATTTACAATATGCGGGTACGTTTATTGACGAAATCGTGGCGATAAAGATGACATGACTTGTAACGGCTAAAATAAATCGTCCACCGACCATGCCCTAGGAAGGGAATGACCCAACCCTTCCTGACAGTCCATTGACAACAACACCAAACTGACATACCCCTAAAAACGGACTGAAATGATGACCAACGCCCAGGTTGTTACCAATATTGTTGTAATATTCGGTATTTTTCAGAAAATTTCAAGTAAGTAATTTTGTATTATGTACAGTCGTAATATATTTGAATTGTATCGGAAAGCTGTTAATTTACTTTTGAGTGAATTGCACGAACAGTTTTGTAAATATTGGTTATATTTCTCTATTTAAGTTTTTGTTTAAAACTTTATTGCAATATTCAAATTGATTTGACGTCAGAATAGACCGTAGCAACTTCACTCGGTTAAATTTTGAAGCAGTATTATTTCATTGCAGATTGAATTTTGACATCTTTAACGTACATGTATATACTATAAAAGTCCTGTTTCTGCATTCTTGGCAACATGGCGTCGTTACTACAAAATCTGTAAGTGAATGTCTCATTTGATTACTTTTCGCTTCGTCACCCGATAAAACAAATTTATCTGGTTATAAAAAGTATATAAAACCAGTATCTAGGACCTGTTGAAATATTTGGTGAAAATATCGAACCAGAACAGGAACGGCATGGCATACTAGTTGGCTATTAACAAAAAAAAACCTCTAATTCCTTCTAAATTAGAATGTCAGGTGTTTTTTCTAGTTATGCTCGGCGAGCGTAGCAAAACCAAAAATTTAAATTGTGAGTTTGTGAAATACTATTAAATATTTATCAAGAGCAAGCCCGTGACACTCGGGAAATAGATAGTAGGTATGGTATATTTGCAATTTGCATCATTCCTGGCCTTCACTTTTTCTTTTTTTCCCTTGTCTGATTTTGGTCTATCGTTCTCACAAAAGCTGAGGTCATTTCAAGACGGATGCTTAGGGAGACACTAAAGAAACGAAAGTATAGGGAAGTGAGAATCTGTTGAATCTTCAATGTCCCCTTATCAGAATCGTTGAAGTCCATGTTTTCCGCTTCAGATCACACATCTTCTCTGCACAGAAGATAAGTGTTTCGAGAACGGAACATAAGTATTCAGAAGGAGGCCAAAGCATAAGACACAAAGGAAACCCACTAGTTGTGAAGGATGGGGGCGGGGGTTGGTTTACATTGGTCGCCGCTTACGATATATATAATATCTAGTTGTATACTGCAGTCCTATTCTTTCTCTTGTTTTTATTTATTTATTTATTTTCTTATGTAATAGCGATAAAAGTACAATGCGAGTTTGTGTAATAATTGAAACTTTACATACATAACATTATCTGTACATACGAGTTATATATATGTTGTTCATTAACCCATTCTTATTTATGTAAACAGAAACTCATATTCGTATGAAAGGCTGATTACCTTATTGACCTTTAAAAGGTCAATAAGGTAATCAGCCGGTTGTTGACATTCTCTGACGTAACGATAGCAAGGGGAGGAAACTCTGATAGCTGATAATGAGGTGGTGACTGTTGATTAGGCGGAAGACAAATGTTTATCTTGTTTACTGATATGTTTAACGCTAGCCAGCTGTGATAAGAGAGGTAAACAAGAGAAAGATAACAAGTCTTAATATTATTACTGGGGAAGTCATGTTTGTGAAAATGAGTTCTTATACATAGGGAGATAATATACAGAGGTTTGCGAATACACGTTCATGTACAAAGGTTTGTTAACATAAGGTTTGAACGGATTCTTTTTCAATTTCGTGCTGGTATGAACACAAATCGGTTACACACATATTCAGTGAAGCCGTAAATATGTATGTAACCGATTTTGGTTCATACCGGCATGAATTTGAAAATAATGCCGTTCAGTCATAATATTTACATTCTAGTTTTGTATTTATTATTTACCTAAATACAGACATTTCCTTATATTTTTGATATTGAAGTGTTTATGTCGTCAGTGAGACGAGATTCCTGGAACAGTATAACGTCAGCAAAATGTTTGCTTCTAGTGGTTGTCCCATGTTATTCGAGGCGGGATGAGAAGCGTTACTGATCCAATTGCGTCCATAGTCCTATGAACGTTATTTGCTATGGTAATGTGCATAGATGAACTTGCAGTTGAAATGTACATTTACATGGAACATAGGAAAGTATTATGCAAAGATTTGTGACTATACTTTCAAATATAGAGAAAATTAATATACAAAGATTGTTGGATGTACGCTCATTTAAATAGAAAAGTAATATACAGTTGTTTTCAAATGAACATTCATATACGTAGAATGGTAATATGCAGTTGTTTTTGAATAATGAAACATTCATAGACATAGAAAAATATTATACAAAACTTTGTGAATAAACGTTCATATACATATATTTACCACCGTATTGCATTGCCACTATATAACCCTGTCAAATTCAGTTGGAATTCATATAAGCTATAAATGCCATGGACCGATTGTTGACGTCATCATTATTATGACGTCATAATTGTTACGTTGGATACCACTGACCCTCCCTGTGCGATGGCTGTTCTCTGCATTGAACAAGCAAACACGATACATACATTATTTGAACTAAACGCTGATTAATAAAAAGCGTAATTTGATTTTCTATGATATGAGCAGATTCCAAAAACTGTAAATACAAGTATTGAACTGCTTTCAGTTGGCATTCATACACTGTAGGCAATATGACTTCCAACTGGACAAAGGTAAATTCAATGAAGAGCGCTAGGTTTGTGATATACGTTCATATACATAATAAAGTAATATACAAAGGTTTTGTTATAATTTAGAATACATAATAAAGTAATATACAATGGTTTTGGTATAATATAATATACATAAAAAAGTAATATACAAAGGTTTGTGATATACGTTACTCTATAAAGGAAAGTAAAATACAGAGGTTTGTGAATCAACGTTCAAATACACAGAACATTAGTCTACTGTAAAACCTCTATATAATGCCCATTTCTTTCATTTGCCACCTCGCTCACCACCAATGTTTTATAATGCCCGTATTTTAGAACCATTTAACGTCTCAAACGATGTATCACCAGACCGCTTTAAAATGACCAGCTGTACAAAGTGTGACAATGCGTCAATATTTTGCTGTACAGTTTATGCTATTCATTGGGGACATTTCAATTCCATTGAAAAGACATTTTACAAAGACATATATTTGTGTGGGGTATACAGTGTTCTAGCCCTTAAGGCAAAAATGGACAAATAAACGGATAAGAGCAAAATGAAAACGCAATGCGTCACGGTTTTTTCTATCAAGGTTCGTTGATGTAGTTTATCACATAGTCGCTACATGTATTTTGTAAATAAAATAAGCATTTTTATTATAAGATTTGTCTTTTTTATGAAGTTCTTTATGTGTACATCATATCCAGTGTGTCTGTGTGTTAATTAATGTAAAAGACCTGAGAAGTGAACTTGAATGGATTTACTTAGAGCCGTATACATCCCTGTAGTACATTTGTCTCTGTGTTAAAGGCCATGGAATTGTCACTCATGACTGTTAGTGTGTAGGACTAGAAAGGCGATACATCACTCATGACTGTTAGTGTGTAGGACTAGAAAGGCGATATATCACTCATTCGTAACCAGCATTGGTAAATATTTACATTTGCCTGGTCTAGGTTTGTAGAGGCGCCTGCGTTAGGCAAGCTCACCTAAGACAGGTATTAAGGGGACGTAACTAAATTTCAGATATGTTTAAATGATAACACTTGTTGGTACAGGACTAAGATTTTTTTTAATTATTCAAAACAAATGAATATGACCATCAATATAAGTATGCCTTTAAGCTAATTAACTTAATAAGTGTGTATTTAAAATGTACTTCATGTACAGTATCAATGAATCAGTGGGCATTTCTAAATTTGTCCCATTTTTTTCTGAAAGGAAGTGGAAATAGTGTCAATGCAATAAATACATTGAAAATCATTATTGAACAAATGTTATCCTTGGAACTTTTCTACTTAAATTCTTTTGTTTAAACTCACAGCCTTGTATGTTGTTCTCCATCATGTTATAGCACTGTCATAATACATGCATCACCTTTTGTTTTGAGAGAACAATAATGAAGCAAATCTTATCTCGCTATCTGTCTCAATCTAGGTATACAAGGAGCAGCGACAACAGTTTCACCGAAAAATGTCTGCGCGAAGTTATCTTCCCCTGAACACGGGAAAGTGTCCTGTGAGGAACATGGAAATTTCCTGTAAGTGCAAACAGATAATCTTACTCTCTGATAGGTTTTGACCATTTCTATGAATGGGATATTTTAGATTCAGCCATGGCAGGTTTGATGACAAAGCAAATACATTCCATTTTAACAGAACTATCACAAACGTCACTAGGGTTATAAGTTTAAGAAATTAATATGGACAACTTTGAACTTTGAATTATGTAAAAAAAAAAAATCTGAAGTTTTGATATAGACTGGTAAAGGATTTTTCTGGTTTACAGAACATGCGTGGCTACTTGTAACGACGGTTTCCGCTTCCGGTCAATGACTTTATTGGAAAGGAGAGTATGTGACGTCATTGACGGCCATTGGTTTAATGGCGGGAACACGCTCCCTCAGTGTGTATCTAAAGGTTAGTAAGTCCGTTACCTCTATAAAGTTCCCTGCCCAACCATGTTGGTTTTCTTTGGGTACTCCGGTTTCCTTCCACATTAAGACCCTCTGCGCGCTGACATTCGGGCTTACAAGAGTGATATCAGTTATTTAACTTGTTTCATAAATATTGCTAAATAAATGAAGTTTATATTTAGGTTGCCCCTAAAACCCAAACTCGTATCCAGGGTTTTGTTAAAGGAGTTCCGGGGGTGAAGCCCCGAAGATGGTTACAGGTGTTAATGTCGGTAAATGTTTAAATCAATGGTAAGAACTCGAAACGTGACCACAGACATTAAATTCATTATCTGGACAGTCGACTATGCAGAGTTCTGAACATACTTTAAATGTATAGTCATAGGCATTCACGAAGGTTTCTCACGAGAGAAGGAGAAACAAAACATGATATGATGCCATGTTTCAAATGAAAAATTGGAACTGTTTGTGTTTTGAATAAGAAAAAGCTTAAAGTTTAGAATTGCATTTCAAATATCAGCAAAACATTACGACAGCTAAAAATGACTTAAGTCGAGAGTAAATTAGACGTAATCTGTCGAAACGAAGGTTCAGAATGTTAATCTATAAATGATCATACCGGGCATACTGCGCGCGTGCCAGGCGGATATGGCGCGTGCGTGCTGATTTGGGTCGGTCCTAAATATGGCATATAATACCTGCACGGAGCAATGTTACAAAACAAACTACCATTCCTTCATACTACGTTTCATTTTGGACTTTGTAGAATCTCTGAGTAGCGAGAATTGTCGACCGACACATCCTCCAGAAAACGGCATTGTTCGGTGTGAGCACAAGGACACACGATTGTGAGTTATCTCCCTTTAGCTTTATCGGATCATTCAGTTATTGAAGAAAAACGTTACAGATATGGTCTGTTACAGAAATATATGGTTTCATATTTCTAATACAAAAAGATATATTCAACAAAATGTTTGATTACTTCTTATTTGATTAGGTTGATGTTGAAGTTATTTTTTGTAATGTTAGGGTCTGCACGGGAACCTGTGACGACGGTTACACATTTGTTACCCATGAGACAACAGCCACGAGGATATGTGACGTCACGAGTGGGGAGTGGGAATCGGGCAATGTCCTCCCGGCTTGTAAAGGTAAAGTAATATTTGCTGTAATATTTTCCCCAACATAATACTGACAAGGAAAGGGCGATAATCACCGTTAAGTTACATTATTGTCTAAATATTGAGCTTTACCGAACGGAAGTGAAAATACGAAAATATGAAAACCTCTTTAGAAATTTATTTTAACTTTTTGGCTTATTAACACAGAAAGTGTGTTATTCATGATACTTTTAAAAGATTTGAACCACATCACATTTCAATAAGATGTCAGTCTCATTATAAATCTATAATGTGTGAACTTGACCGCATAACAAGTCCTTTTTTGTATGAACCCCATTATAATTCTCTAAAATACATGTATGAAGTTCATTACTAAAGTTTTGGTAGATGGAACCTCACTTCATGTAACTGATCTGGGTTATGTATTTACAATTTGCTACTGGTATATCCCTACAGATTTATTGAGAGACTATTGGAGCGCTTTATATTAGAAAATATTGATTCGGCTGGCTGGTAAATTGATCGTAAAACATTTTTTTCTCCAATTTTTCATTTAGAGTTTTATCATAGCACATAGACAACATTTCTTCTGATTAATTCATACAAAAATATAAATGCGAAACTAATCATCTCACAAGTACAAGTTAAAGGACTCACACACCTAAATCATTGACTATATGTTATTCCTAAGCATTTGAGCTAATAGCGTTAATATTTGAAGTTCAACACTAGTGACAACTGTCTAGATTCACAGATACATACAGACAAAGGCTTCAAACGGCATGTTTTGGTTTGTTTAGTGGCATATAACAGCGCTACAGGCGTCTGCTTTTGACAACCGGAAGTTTACAAGCCCTACCGGTGAAATGGGACGTCAATCCGCCATCACATTTTAAAATCTACTAAAACTAGACATTTTTCTAGAGTTCAATATCTGTACATTTCATTCCATGTAAAATATGTCAACAATTACCTATTTAAATTACTCAGAGGCACTGTATTAAACCGTTTTATGTAGGGATTACAATCGTATGAAACTGATTGGCTGATTTAGTTGTGTGAAACCTTATAGTTGCAGTCGTCGGTAACTGTACGCTACCCAGCCCGCCTCGTAACGGAATGAGCAAGTGTATTGTGCAAGGCTCCGAACTGTAAGTATGTCTATCTATAATTCGCTCAATATAGAACTATACTGGGTGTGTTTACATTTTACGACTGTAAAGTGACAGGGTTTCAGAATTCAAACATCCATTGACACCTGTATAATCAAGACAACAAAATGAATCAATAACTAAGTCCCCCAAACGAAGTGGAGGACTTCTTGGTTTTACTTCAAATTTTCTTCTTCTTCTTCTTCTTCTTCTTCTTCTTCTTCTTCCGCCGTAAAATATTGTCACGGCGTGTGCCTAGATGTGCAAGACGCCTTTTGTAGAATCATACCTTGAGGTTAATTATTGTGTGACACAAGATACATGCATGAAATAATACCAGAATAAATTTTCTATTTACATGTACTTTTTTGGTAGGGAAGGAACTCAAATCGGCATTCCTACCTATTTCAATTAGTAATCTGCATGTATATACAAAATTTATATATATCCATTCGATAATGCAGGAATGAAAACTACTAGGTGTTTAATCACTTGACCTATATGTTGCAGTGTTTGTACCGCTGTGTGTTTCCATGGATACGCTTTACCTGTCGCTTTAGATAACGCCAAGCACGTGTGTACAATAGCAGATGGCGTATGGTATGACGGGATGTTTTCATTCCAAACCTGCCAGGGTAGGTCGAAGGTATATTCTTTCATGTAAAGAAAAGGGTTGTTGCATCTTCCCTACTGTGGTCCCTAGCAACACCGATAAGTCCTAGAAGAAAGACCCAACTGTACAATACAGAATAATTCATTTTTGGCATTCTGTATAAATTACCAAATATTATGGGTGCCTACTTATAACATGTAGCGGCTATACCGCTGCATCTTCGATATCCAGGGGTTACGCTCACTTTCGCTCTCTTCACCCCTGTAATATGTCATAGCAAAACTGAAGGCACGAACACAGCTCTTTGATTGGTCTCAGGTAAAAACACTGACCAATCGCTAGGCTGATAACTATCCTTTGAAGATTACAAAGGAGAGACGCCCGACTTCAAAGCCTGTCAATTTTTACCGTTACTTGACCGCGATATTCCTTTGATGTACATCAAAGGATCGAACTAGTCTTCTTGTCTCATCAGTAAGGTGGCGCACACTGAGCCTTCAATTTTGCTATGACATTATTCCAGGGGCGCAGAGAGCGAAAATGAGCGTAAACCCTGGATATCGAGGATACTCATACTTCTGAATTAGGCGCCCTCTGTCTTCTTGTTGTCTTCTCTTCCTCCGTCCTCCCCGTACACTGATTGATTTTACGTTACAGTAAAACAGACCTAAAGCGCTCTGTGGTGAGAGGGATATGGGCCTCTTGAAATAAATAGATAAATAAATATGTACTTATTTTACATTGACAGCTATAACTGCGACAGACCAGTGTCGTTTTCTGAATGTATCACGTGATACAGCAGCTAGCACGTGTCACCAGCACGGTGCAGACTTGTGAGTAGCGACTTTAAATGAATTTCAGGTAGTTAATATATGCCTAATTTAAACAGCTTATATCTTTGAATAAAACTGTAGACGTCATGAAGTAATATGTTTCAGCCTGTTAAACAAGTTTAACTTTGTATAACATCAATGTGATGAATAGTACGTATACTGCTCATTTGAAAAAAAACTATCTAAATCGGAATACCTTTGATGAAGAGTACCGTAATACTTATATTTGCTACATATTATATATCCTTATGTATTTGTATGTGAACAATCGCTTATTTAGTGACATTACTCTTTGTGTTTCTTATAATACTCGTCATGTCTGTACGTATTCAGAGTCTGTGACGTCGAGTGCACTAATGGATTCACGTTCGAGACTCATGACGTCACGGTAAAGCGGATCTGTGACCGTCTGACAGGCACGTGGTACACCGGTAGCTCCGTACCGCGATGTGTCTGTAAGTATATTTGTATCCACGTACGTCTTCAAACTTCTCACTTTAAAGGCAGTGGACTGTAAAGTAACATACATTTATCATCGCCTCAGTTACACAAATCTGAATTCATCTGTTCTTGTTTTTAAACGGTTTGTTATATCTGTAAAATGTATGCAATATAGTTCCAAAATAGTTCCCACTTTATGGCGTTGACACTGTATAACCCTGCGTATTTCACATGCCATTCATATAAATTGTAAATGCCATGGCTCACATGTTGACGTCATCATTATTATGGCGTCATACACAACATAGGTTACCTACCCTCATTTCGGAATGGCTGCTCTAATGATTAACGCACGATTTAGAATGTACAAGTTTTTTTTTCTTTTTCTTGCTTTCAGCGACATGTGAAGAGCACCTCATTTCCGGAAATAGCATTTTCTCGGCTTCAAGTTCATGGACAGGTTTAGCTGGAGTCTATTTTGGGCCGGACAGGGCAAGACTGACCTCTGGTCCTGAAACTGTCAAAAACCAGAACCTAAGTGGGGGATGGCGACCGGCAAACGATGATCTCGGCCAGTTCATTCAGGTATGAGTAAAATTAATTCTGAAATGAATTGTGATTCTTAATATGACAGTCCGGTAACACACGGAGAACGCTTTAAACAAGTGGTCCAAATTTCCAGGGAGGGGGGTTCCAAGTGGGAAAAAAATGAGGAAAATGGTGAAAATACATGATTTTTAAAGAAAATTATCAGGTGGGGGCGGTTCTGAAGCCCCATAAAACCCTCTGGATAATATTGATCACATGACGGCGCAATAAAGCATTATGTCCACCTCACGTACTTTAGTCTACCCGATCATATTTCCCTTATTCGGAACATTTCTAGAAGAAATGGGCAAGAGCCACCACAGCCGAGTTCCGAATGACTAAAACAGACAACAACAACGTGTCAACCTGATCATTCTTTTCATTTGATTGCTTATTTTATGTCAGCATAATAAAATATGTATTACCCTTGATGTTAGGAAAACGCGATTCTTTGTTTCTCCGACATTCGCCCTCCTACAATGGGATTAATAGAGAAACAAGGAATAGCATTGTCCTTCAAGAAGGGCAATACATGCATGATATTAACATGTTACAGGTGAAGCTGGAAAGGCTAAGCCGGATAACAGGCATCGTTACTAAAGGCCGGGGTGTAAGTTCTGGTGACACCGCCCAAGATGTGGTTACTAGGTTCCGAGTTCTCTACAGCACCGACGGAAGGTCGTTTGTACCGTACGGAAGCGAGACTGTAACTGATATGGTACAACAGATAAATAATTAATAAAAATAATAAGTGTTTTATATGCAGAAATATCTTGCAATATAAAATATAAGATTTGTTCTATTTAGGTTAAACATTTTAAAGCAAAGATATTTTTTACAATGCCGTTGACCATTTCTGAGAAGGCTAAACAGCACACTGGTTGTTTCGTATTTTCCTGATGAATGTGTACGTCTGTGTATGGTTTAACTCCTAAACAAAGTACAGTCAGTACATGATATTTTCTGAATCGAACATGGAACATATTTTCCCCAAACGGCCCCTATTGTTAGTTTTTCAGTGGTAACAGAAACACGTGTAATGAGAAGGTTAACTGGTTTTCGTGTCCGTTCGCGGCACTGTACGTCCGTATTAACCCAATAGATTGGAAGGACCACATCGGACTAAGGTTTGAACTACTTGGATGTCCTGCCAGTGAAGGTTGGTATACATAACATGCAATATTTATTACTTCAGTTTAGCATAGAAAATGTTTGCGAGATTTTTTAAAACCTTTTCTGTAAAAAAATATCTTGAAATCTTAACCATGTAATGACATCCCTATAAACGTACGTTCAGGGTATTTTTATACAACAGTGTCCCTGTGCTTTATTAAAGTTTACCTTGTATAAAAAACTTAATTTATGATTTCAAAACTGAAAGGAGAACAATTATTTACGTGTGTATATTATGAATCGTGCTGCTACACAAAAGAGACCCCTGTCATTAGTGGTGTTCCGTCAGCAATCTATCACCTTGTATCTTGATCAAACTGAATATTTACAAGAAAACAGAGTGAGAAATACGGCGTTAGTAGCTTTAAAGGTTAGTTTAGCAAACTAAAAAAGTCGTTTGATACAAAGATGAATACATTATATTGTCAGTCGTAGCATTCGGAGTTACTTCCCCTTAACAACCCGTACGATGGTATATAGACACCTATACTGCAAACAGAACAATGTTGGTCTGTCCGATCACAATAACAATGAATAATGATCATAATAATGAAAAAAAGATGTTTTCATGGTATTTAAATCATATCTGTATATGTAGGAGTTTTTACTTGTTTTCTTACTCATTCCCATCCATGGGGAATAACATATCCTTCACACACTAAACCGACCACTTTTATTAAACTACGAAATGTTTATTGATTATCTGAAATATTGAACTGCCAAATTTCACATTATGATTCGTGTTGATAACATTTCACAAACTATATGTGTCCCATTTGTCCTGTTTCGTTGGGAGATTTTAAAGTTGAATTATCGTTAAATCATTTCACTTAATTTGAAGATAATATCTTTATTTTGAAATTATAATCTACGACAATTACCTTGCTTTCATTCTGAGGTTCAATTTCTATTTTTGTTTTGTTCATGAAAGTAATGTCAGCATCCTATTCTAGCCAATGATATTTCTTTCTTTAATTGACATTATAAGTCACATTATTGTTTGACAGTGTCTTTTGATGACCGATTGTATTTACCGAGCAGTGTAAGATATACTGTTGAATAAGAAGCTGTTTCATACATATTTGAACATGCAAAATTTGTTTTTTTGTAGAATCTGTACTAACCACAAGTTTCATCAGCAATACAACTCCTACAACTGTTACATCAGGTAGGTAATAAGTTAATAAGCGATTGACTAGAACTACTTTGAACATTAATTCATATTATAAGGGGAAATTATTCTTACGAAAGAATATTAAGGCCACTTGGAAAATATACTTTTCCTTTTTTTGTGTGTTATCTTTTCGAAATTTCGGATTGATAAACGAAATCTTATATACTAACCCGAAATTGCGCGGCTTGTTTTTTTCTACGTGTCCTAATAATTCTCTAGGATTTTACAGTAACAAGATAAAGTTTTTTTATATAGCAACTCTTATAAATGAAGTTATTACCACTAATAAGTATCCCTCTTGTTGACCCGGGTGTTAGCGCGCGGGGGTTCTTAATGTTGGAGGAAAGCTAAGTACCCGGATAAAACCCACGTGATTGGGCAGGTGGCTCCATAACTTTTCATGTCCAATTGGGGAATCGAACCGCAACAGCCTTGGTAAAAGGCAAATGTGTTACCCACTGCGCCATCCACCACAACTTACAGACGACAATTTCACAGTAATACTAATCCTTTTTATTCATTATGTCTGGTAGGTACATTATGTCAGGTAAGGTACATTATGTCAGGTAGGTACATTATGTCAGGTAGGTACATTATGTCAGGTAAGGTTCATTATGTCAGGTAAGGTTCATTATGTCAGGTAGGTACATTATGTCAGGTTGGTACATTATGTCAAGTTGGTACATTATGTCAGGTACTTTTTGTAGGTACATCATGTCAGGTAGGTACATTATGTTAGGTAGGTACATTATGTCAGGTAAGGTACATTATGTCAGGTAGGTATATTATGTCAGGTAGGTACATTATGTCAGGTAGGTACATTATATCAGGTAGGTACATTATGTCAGGTAGATATATTATGTCAGGTAATGTACATTATGTCAGGTAGGTACATTATGTCAGGTAGATACATTATGTCAGGTAATGCACATTATGTCAGGTAGGTATATTATGTTAGGTATTTTTCAGTAAGAAAGGATAAATGAAAATAAATTTCTTTCCAAATCTGTCTTAGCTTACAGTTCATCCAAACTTCATCATTAACACTTTCGCTGGGTAGGTAAGGAGTTCATCATTGTCAATTAAGATATGTTTCAAATTTTAAAGTTCGTCCAATATTGTTTGAAAACAGCGTCCGTATGACAAAATTAATGTATGTTTTTACCCCTTGATCATCATACATCCCTCTGCAACATTAATACAGATTTTTGTTTTGTCACAGGAACAAGTCCCGAACCAATGTGTAATTCAATACTGCCCCCGAAAAATGGCGTCATCAACTGTGAAGACAGGGGAACGTCGCTGTAGGTAACAGCAAGGGCGCACGTGCTCGATTTAGTATAACATGCTTGTCGGTTACGTTAGTGTAAACAGAACATGCTCCTCAGACGCTCAGTATAAAACAAACATATATAATACTACGATTGATCACATCATCTGGAATTCTGTGACATATCTACTTTCGTTTTGTAATAACCATCAGTGACCTTCTCAACCAGATGATGTCGTACATATTGATCAGTTTTACTGGAGATCGGTGTAGAGAACATTAGTGTTAACCATTAATATGCTTTCTTGTAACTTTTGAAGAAATACCTGTGACGTTTACGGCTATTGGGCTTGGATACGTGTAACGCGTTTAACTATAGTTTATGATATCAACCCTTAATAACCAATTATAAAATCTGTTTCGGAAGATAAATTAATGATTTGTTGATATATAAATCTTATTAGCATATATTTAAGGAATGATTTTTATTTTTTCAACATTTATGAGGTCATAACAACAATGGGTTTATGGACATATTGAATGAATCGCGTTAGCGATTCATGTAAAATATGTCCAAAAACCCATTGTTGTTATGACCTCATAAATGTTGAAAAAATAAATATCATTCCTTATATTTACATTGACGAATCCTTTCAGTGGATCGATATAACAACGAATAAAACAAATAAACAGGGTTTGTTCCTGCTTATACACGGGTGCAACGCAGTGGCGAGAACAGTGTTTTTTCGCGGGGAAATGTGACACTATCGTGAGAGATCTTAGCAACCGTCAACAACAATAACACAACAAAATGTAGTTCCATATTCAATGTTTATTTGTAGCACAGGACACGTGAATACGTGGATATTTCACAAAGCACAGTTCAATAATATTTTAAGATGTAAGAATTAAGCATCTAGTTCGGTCGTTCCGAGTGAGTAGTTTTTGTAGTGTATTACTACGCAGTGTGATCAGGTTACTATCAGTTCCCACGTGCTGAGATTCTATGAACACCTGTGTTATGCATTTATGAATGTAATTTTTGTCAATGGGTCTAAGCATACAGAATGTAAATATTAATGGATAAGACCAATAGCTATGCTATTCTGTACTTCATAACCTCAATTTTGCAACGATTCGAGTTAAAAAACGCTTAATGCAATCATGTTTTTGCAAGTTCAATCTTATTACGAAGTGTTACATGTATTGTGGCAAGACAATGTTTGATCAAATTAAGCAGAATTCCCACTGTAACAAATTTTGCATTTCTGCTTTATGTTGCAAAGTTTCGTTATAAGTGTAATCTACAAACAATATTGAATTGAAATATTCTGTTTTGGAAACCCAGAATCGACTTCTAATTAAAAACATATATTTCAAAATGTGCCTAGAGTTCGTTTTAAAAGAAGTTTGATTGTATATATATGATTCCAGTGTGTGTACGGCCCTGTGTAAGAACGGCTGGGCGTTTACCACTGGAGACTTCCTCGTAAATAAACGTTGTGACCTTAACACTCATACTTGGACAGACGACCAACCTTTCCCCGCCTGCTACAGTAAGTATGGACATCACTGTTACATTACACAAACTAAACCTGTCAGTTTTTCCTCATATATATATTTTTTTTCCAAATTACTCAGGAGACACGACCACGAAATTGTTTTCGTATGTTTTTTCACATCTTACATATATCCTTTGCTGACTTGACCAATTACCATAGAACGTTCTGACTGAACGACCGTTCTCAATTCTCTTCATCTTAAAAATCCTTAAAGATATCTTTATTTATCATTTCAGGACTGCCCTATGTTACAACGACGACCAGCCTTAAGCCCATGACACGTACGTATCTGATATAGTATGCACTGCAATACTTAATATAACCAAACCGTTGACGCCCAACAAGTACATTGCATTGCCGCCATGTGGCGCTAAATGGTGGAAATATGATGAACAGTCTGTATGCCTGAAATATAAGAATATAGAGAATCGCCACAAACAAACACACACACACACACACACACACACACACACACACACCAACAAAAATAGAAACGGAAAGGATGAAGATTCAAACTACAGTAATGAGTTGAGCAGTTCAATATTTGTTCTTCAATCTCCAGAAATAAAACAAATGGAAACTCCGATTCCCAATGTGACCCAATGTCAGTGGTTCTGTAGTCGCTTCAGCCGAACATGCAATGTTATAACACAGGTATTCCCTTTTTGTGGTACATCCCTTTACCTAGAACTAAAACCTCGAAACTGATATCCTCACGTTATGTTGTTTTTTTACTTGTGAGTCTAAAATTACGTCAATGTTTATCGTGTTGTAAATGTATACTATCATACTTGTTCTGTCATAAATAAACAACATTTGTTTTCATAACAATGTGATTGTTACCTGCGAATATCATCACAATTGTTTTTTTTGCAGTCAATATTTTTTTTAAAAATAAATCAACCATGTTAAATAGTCAAATTTATATAATTAACGTTACTGATCTGTATAAACGGGTACTGTGTTCTGTGAGACAACGGTGCCTCATATAATTAACGTTACTGATCTGTATAAACGGGTACTGTGTTCTGTGAGACAACGGTGCCTCATATAATTAACGTTACTGATCTGTATAAACGGGTACTGTGTTCTGTGAGACAACGGTGCCTCATATAATTAACGTTACTGATCTGTATAAACGGGTACTGTGTTCTGTGAGACAACGGTGCCTCATATAATTAACGTTACTGATCTGTATAAACGGGTACTGTGTTCTGTGAGACAACGGTGCCTCATATAATTAACGTTACTGATCTGTATAAACGGGTACTGTGTTCTGTGAGACAACGGTGCCTCATATAATTAACGTTACTGATCTGTATAAACGGGTACTGTGTTCTGTGAGACAACGGTGCCTCATATAATTAACGTTACTGATCTGTATAAACGGGTACTGTGTTCTGTGAGACAACGGTGCCTCATATAATTAACGTTACTGATCTGTATAAACGGGTACTGTGTTCTGTGAGACAACGGTGCCTCATATAATTAACGTTACTGATCTGTATAAACGGGTACTGTGTTCTGTGAGACAACGGTGCCTCATATAATTAACGTTACTGATCTGTATAAACGGGTACTGTGTTCTGTGAGACAACGGTGCCTCATATAATTAACGTTACTGATCTGTATAAACGGGTACTGTGTTCTGTGAGACAACGGTGCCTCATATAATTAACGTTACTGATCTGTATAAACGGGTACTGTGTTCTGTGAGACAACGGTGCCTCATATAATTAACGTTACTGATCTGTATAAACGGGTACTGTGTTCTGTGAGACAACGGTGCCTCATATAATTAACGTTACTGATCTGTATAAACGGGTACTGTGATCTGTGAGACAGCGGTGCCTCATATAATGGTAAACAAAGTAATTAACAAAGTTAACGATATCCATTTAGTTTTTTATCAAATAGTGAACTTGTTCAATGGTGTGAACTTCATATGCCAATATTTTATCTTTAAATGAATTACGTCCCCTTACGTTTAAATTCACTTACAGAATGATCTCTTTTAACAGCATTAAAACGATAACAATTAATATTTATCAACTCTGAAGTTGTCAGTGACACTTAAATACGTTTACATTTTTATGATTAATCCTTGTCAATGTCATTCATAACCTATGATATTTCATCATTTTATGATTTAAAAAATCAAATATTGGTATATCGAGTTATTACATGCACAACGAACGTTCACAAAAACTATTTATAATCATTTTCAGAAAGTTAGGTGAGGATTTTGAATCAAGGATATGTACATGTATAGTGTATATTTGTTGTTGCCTGGCACACGGAAACTACCACACGCGTACTGATTGTCACTCTTAAACTTGCTATAAACATATTAGATATTTATGTGAAGGTGCTAAACCAATTATATATATTGTCTCTTTCTTACTCTTGTTCAGATGATTGTATCGGCAGTGCAGACGACTGTCACCGCAAAGTAAATGGCGACTATCACACTTGTGATAACTGTCACTACTTCGCCAGCTGTTCTGAGGGATATACCTATGTCCGAGAATGTCCTGACAATCTCGTGTTTGACGCAGTTATTGGGAGCTGTCAGTATCGTTCAACAACGTGTACAGAACTTTAATTAAACGTCGTTTACCTTCTTATTTCGCATTGGAGCTGTGAGAAATTGAATCATATCCTGGAAACATACCAGTTATACATAAACATGTAAACAATCGTTTGAAGGGGAATATGTTCTTATTTCAAAGACATCATGCTCCAAGGAAAGGACACACATTTTCTCGATTCCCTCTTGGAAAGGCTGTCACTTCTGTGTTTTATCGAGAAATATAACGCTCATTAGAAATCAAATGATAATAACAGTGGCGGATCCAGGGGGGTTTTTTGGGCTTCAGGAAACCCCCCCACCCTGAGAATTTTCTTTAAAAATCATGTATTTTCACCATTTTCCTCAATTTTTCCCCACATGGAAACCCCCCAGGAAATTTGGAAACCCCCCCAGATAGGTCTCTGGATCCGCCACTGAATAACATAACATTGAATACAGCTAACGGCATCACACGGTTGCCATCTCATTCAGGGGTTAAAACGGCGAATAATAGAAGGAACATAATTAGTTGTTTAAAAAAAATCGATTGTTCTGAGGACATTTTAAATTTCGTGTGAAACGATTAAGATCCGTTATATGGATACGGTTATTGAATAATGTTGTGGTTAGAGACCACTATTTTTTGCTTCCGTATACATGCGTCGATATGTTATTTTCTTGCTAACTTACTGCATTTTTTCTACATATTTATGCAGACAATCATAACAGATATATGTTAAAATGAATAGATAGTTTTTAGCACAAAGCTCTTCTTAAAAAAACCGCAAGACTCCAAATCAAATAATTGTCATATGCCCAATAAAACAAATATTCAATTTTTGAAATCATAATACAGAGTGCTGGGTCTCTTGACCTTAATAACGTCACACTTCAAAATTGAACTGTATTACTACCAGCCGCGCGCTAGCCATATATTGTTGTTGACACTGACAATTACCATACCTGTACGATAAGGAGGGAGGTTATATATAATTACCTGTGAGAGCGATGATGTCGTATGCTTCAGCGATTTGTACATATGTCAGCATATATAATACGTAGGTTAAGTCTGACCAGGGTTCAACATTGACATGAGCTCCCGCTCTTATTGACGCTACCACAAAGCCTTTGTTGTCGTTTTTTTGTATATATTGCTATCACAATAAATATTTTATACATTCAAAACGTCTTGTGTTGGTGATTAGTATGTACACGATGTAACGCATGCACGTGATGAACCTGCATACACAATGTACTTTGTATTCAATAACTCGGACGAAATAAGTTTAATTAAAGCTAAAACACTGGTGTCTTGTCACAGAACAATGATATCGTTTTCAAATCTGTTTTATGATACGATCTTGCGCTGGCAGAAGTCATTTATTATTATAATTAAAGCCCGTCTATCAATGATGACCACAAATGTGCTAATTAATGAGATATTTTTAAACCCACAGTTACTTCAAATGATAATTAAGTTTCATAAATTATATGAAGTTTTCAGACAAATCGGAATTGGAATATCAAACTATATATGTAAATGTTGTCAACCTTTTTTTTTTTACCTACGCCGGTTTAATACAATAGTTTCACAAAATTATTATTTTATCACATCTTTCTGCACGACCTTCACATTCATCAAGAGTTATCTACGAACAGTCGTGTTAAAGATGTAATGCATTAATTCCATTGAATAATTCACATAAAACACCAGTAACCCCCAATAACGGAAACGTCATCAGTTTGTTTCCATATATGATGTGAGAACATACTAATATAAACGGATCACTCCCATGTTTAGTTTTGTAGCATACGCGACTTTACATTTTGTCCGTATGCAGTTGACTAAGTCATAGCCTATTATAAACGGCTGATTTCATTTGTCTCAGGTGTCCAAATATTAAATGTCACAACACTTGCATGTTTAAGTATCCTATACTCATGTCATATTGTACATAACTCAACAGAATGTTATTAAAAAAAATCAGAAGTGTTACTGACTATTCGCTATACATATAGTGTATTGATAATATATTTTATTGGTTACCCTGTTTCAGGTAAATCAGATTTGAACATTTTATCTAATATAAACCATAAAATGTTACCATATTAAGTTGACAAAACTTGGATTAACGATGTGTTCTATTTTCACATAACAATACAAAATGTGATTCACTTTTTTGATACAGGTGAGAAAATACCATTCACGATAAATTCACTATAAAGTGGTGTGTATTGATAATATATTTCCTTCGGTATTGCTCTTAAAGGTAAAACAGAGTTGAGCATTTTATCTAATACAAATAAACTTAGTACGGACAATACGATATCAAGTTGACAAAACTTTGGTGTACGATGGTATTATAACAACGTATATTTCCATTTCAACCACACATTCTAACAAGGTAAATATACTTAGTTTTGACGATAACAACATCTTGTATATATAGTACGTTATGCACTGGTATGTAGAAGTAATATATCACTAATTATATAGTCAACACTGACAACTCATTAATTTACGACAGGTGTGTTATGTTAATAGCCTCTCACATCTACTGCGTTAAGATGACAATGCGTTGGTGATTAGTCACGAAATGATTGACAGCTTGACATACTGGAGTGACAGGAACACGCCTCGACTTTCCTGCTATTAACAAATTACAAAGATGAATGTATATGGAGGTGCCATTGGCCTTATCGGGTCTAGCGCGTGTCCATTTTTCGCTTGTTGTTTCAGAAACTGGTAATGAGGATGCGTGCTTAATATCGGTCAGATAAACACCTATCCACAGAACACGACACCGATTGGTAGACATTCTACAGGTACACAGGAACTGCTAATTGGTCGCGGTTATATTCAAACATCTTGAATTTATATATTTTATGCGTAATTTGTTATGATATTATCCCTGTTCCCCTTTTGAATTGTTACACTAATTTCCATATTTGAATATATTTTACTATGTACGATAGGCTATTGATATGGTGGACGGTTTGTGAAATATTGTTTATCATTATGTTTTATATATAAGTCATACGTCGTGGTCAGTACCCATTTAATATATTGTCTAAACGGGAAAAAATGCTGGCTATGCCATGCATGTCAATCATAACACCAGCTGTATAAATGTTGGTCTAAATATATATCAGAATTGCTCAACGTATTCACTGGGGACACATAAACTAATGTTTGTATCAAACTGTACTGTCTTTTCTTTCAATTACTGTCTTCTTTATTACTGGCGTGTCTCGTGACACATACCACTTAACCTTTCAGTAACCATGACACCGTATGTGACATGTTCGTTTTGGTGGAATGTTATCAACAAAACTATTAACTGTTAATACACCAGTCTATCGATTGAGGGAATGACATGGATATGTGTGAGAGTGTTAAGTTCGCAATTTTCGGGGTAATTTAAATATGCAAATTTAGCACGAGGTTACTACACACCTTCAGATGTAGAAAAACAATAAATAGTGAAGTTTCTATATTTTGGGGGAAATACTTTATTATTATTACAGTATATTGATATTACTCATTGATTAAGTATAAGCCCTTACATATATTTGCATTTTTATTTTTTGATTTCATGTAAATTTAATGTTTCATACTGTCCACAGATACATCCAAAGTTGGAAAACAGTTTGAGTTTAAGATTTGATTTGGAAATAGACCATCTTCGATACTCGAGGTGTTATATATGCTAACGTACGGCCTCTGCACACCTGGAATATGTCATGAAAAAATCGAAGGCTCAGTGTACGCCACCTTTTGTAAGACACAAACAGACTTGTGTTTGATCCCTAGATGCCCATCAAAAAAATATGTCGGTCGCGTGACGGTAAAAAATGACTTTCTGTGAAGTCGGGTGTCGCCCCACTGTAATCTTCAAAGGACAGGTATCAGCCTAGCGATTGGTCAATATTTGTTTTACCCGAGACCAATCAATTAGCTTAACCCCTGGAGTGTCTAGGATGGGAAACAAACATTTCTTAAAGCATAACATAATGTTATGAAGATCATTTACTTATTTCTGCTTTTGCAACATAATCATCGATGACTGATATGAATGTTCTTATGTTATGATATCTATAAATACTAGTTGGTCAAAATGATTCAGATGTTCACAAACTAATTATGGAAACCGAACGATGGATGTACGTGGTTCCGTCTTTTCATGTTTGTTTTGGTTGAAATATAATAAAACAAATAGTCACCAAGAATACAAAACAAAGAAGCACCTATTCAAAATTCAGTATATCGATGCAGAAAATTAAACCTAGTAAGCATTTCTTGCACTGTATGACAATTCGTCCATTTAGATGTTATTATTGGTATCTAAAGTCAAAAGAATTAAAATACATGATAAAAGTATTCCGAATTACATGCTGAAAATCATCAAAGTTTGGAAAATGATAGCAATGGTAACCGTTCTCAGTTTCAAACTCTGTTAAAATCTCGAAACAATATTTGTGCAACATCATAAAAAAATAACGATTTGGTTATCATTTAACCATGAAATTAATAGGAATTTATAGGTAGCAGAGTTTTCAATTGATCCAAGAGGCTGAAATAATAATCCATGATTGCTTTTTATGGTACAGTTCTGTCAATTAAGGTCCAATAAAACACCATTTGTTTCCTTAGCGGCGTCGTAATAAAAGCTCTTAAGAGCTTATATTTGTTGTTGACAATTGTACACGGCGTTAATTAAAGATTATTGTTATTATATAATGTGCAATTGCATCCTTCTTACTTATAAAGCTTAGGCAAGGCAACAGTTGTCTCAAAGAGTTCATTAATGTGTTTGACTATAACAAGTTCAATACGATTCAAAGAAAAGAGGAATAAATTGTATCGGTGTAGAAACAACAAAAACAACGCTATGTGAATATATTTACTTATATATGGAATTAAATAGTGAATGATATTGTTACATGATAAGTTTTTAATGGTTGACTCTTCTGCGCAAACTCCACCATCTCTGTCGACGAGGTATTTCTATATATTCCGGCATGTTATCTGCAATGTAGACAACATATACTTAAAATGTTGAAGTTTTATAAATATTTTCCTTTTCATTGTTACATATGTACATTTCAATCGTGAAAATGTGTTTTATTTGAAATATGAAAACAAACATGTAGTTATTGTAATCGTATATCTTTTTTAAAATAGTTAACGAGGATGAAGATTTTGGAAAAAGGACGATATGGCCTGTCCTCATTTGTTTGTGATATTTTCGTGTCCCGAGTTTCATAATCCGCCATTAAATCATTGTACACTATTCAATACATTAACATCTACATGATATTACTTTTATTTCAATTTCAGTACCTGAACTATATGATCCAATCAATAAGTCTGTAATTTTGGGCGCGTAATCAATTGTCCTGTCCTTTCAGTTTAGTACGTTGTGCATGTGGCAACGATTTATAAATCGCATGATGCACATACCTCCATGTTTGCAAACTGGACAAAGTTAAGATTATTCGTCGATGACAAGAACACAATGTTCACTTTTTTACATTTGCGAATCAGGGTAAGTTTTGGAAAGGCTGAGCTAGGCATGGTCTAATGGAATATAATACATGTTTACACACGTATTATAATCAAATTATACACGAGTATTAATGAATGAAATGTGTCGTAACATTAATGAAATGGATTTAATAATTTTAATAACTAAAGTTACCGGATTTGGCAATATTGTGGCAAAAAAACAAATACTTACCAAGCATTTCTGCATGTCTATGACTGTTTGCGCAACAGTATCCCGAATAACACTCCATCTTCTGTTGACAATCCTTTGTGGTCCTACACCTCTTAATAAACCTAGATGGCGTGTCGGAACACAATTCCTGTTGCATGTATATTTGCATAGCTCTTCGCTGTGCGAAAGTCTTACCAGCACGATCAGTTTTTAATTTTGGCGAAGAGGTCTTTAAAGATCCTTGCGTACTAGGGCCAGCCTGTTTTGCTATATGACCTTGACCGAGAATTGGTCCTGGGATAGAAGGATTGAAAAAACGACCTTCATTTACCAATACTGCCATGCTAGGGTGCATCAATGGTCTCTGACTTCGAACTCTACCTAACAATCCCAATATCTGCGGGTACAACTGGGCTAATATGGATGATATTGCCATTGGACCATCTGATAATATGTGGGACATCGTAGTCTGTATTGAGCGTTTTGGAGTAGGTTCCAGCACTACATTCGGTGTTGGTGTCGTTTGGACATTTGCTACCGTTGGTTCTGTAGGAATATCGGTTGTTAGTGTTGATTGTGTTGCTGTTCCGGGTGCTGGTGTGGTCTTTCTTCTGGATCTTCTGGAAGACTTCCTCTTGCTTGACGACTTCCTGCGTGACCGTCTTGTTGACCTTGACGCAGACTTTGTAGTAACTGTGACGTCTGTTACACCGCCTATGATAGTTTCTTGTTTGATCGATGGATCTTGTGCTGTTTTTATCGGGGAAGCATCTTTGCTCTTTGTTTCTGTTGTTTGTGTTGATGGACTCTTTTTTGATGATTTTTTCAATTTCCGTTTTGTTGATGTTTTTGGTTTCTCCAATTTCTTCTCAATAGGAGATATACCTTTATCCGAAACACCGGGACTTTTAAGTGTGTTTGGTACCTCTGGTATATTGACATTAGTCTTTGATGCACTTGTTATTGATGTTTGAGATTTCCTCTTCCCAGATTCTTGTGTATCCACTGGGAGTATACCTTCAGAAGAAGGGAAGAACTCTCGTATCCCAATCTCTGCTGCAGGGAGTATACTACTCCTCTCACTTCCATTCCCTTTGTCAGACAATGTTTTCTGGTGGTTCTTAATCTTTTTGCGAAGATTCGTAATATCTCTCATAATATCTGCGTTCATATCCTGCATCAATGGTGACATTGCCATCACACCTGGAAATAGTGACAAAAATTAAAATTAAGGATTAATATTTTAATTCCTACATCAGCAACAGATATGTTTTTTTATAGAACGTGATATGTATTTGTGGATTTTTTTCTGGTAAAATTAAAAATATAGATACAAAACGATATAGAGCAATAATGCAAACATTGTTTTACTTTATCATTTAGTTAACAGGACAAATATGCAGAATGACATTTGGAGCATTAAATACAATATAACTTTTAATCTCAAAATCATAAATTTGCCTCTGATCGATTTGATTTTCCTTTACACACTTATATTACCCTTAATCCTAGAACTAAAGTCCCCTCCTATTGTTTTATATTGCACACTACAAAATATGAATATGATATTTGCTAGTATTTTTGAACCAAACATGTATCACTTTTGATATGATAGTGTGATCAGGACTATAACGTATAATAAAAAAATCCCATATTTGTCAATCTTTAAAACATTTATCTATTTTTCAATATATTAACAATCAGTTCACAGTTCGAATCCACAATCAATATTTGCAAAATGTTTGCAGGATCTGTCTGCAATCCTTTCAAGTATTAGAGGAATAAATACTACGCCTAATTATTCTGAAATGTAAATAGATAAAATCATGCTAGAATAAGATTTAACATTGTTAATATGAAATCCTCAATCATTTTGTTAATGAAACAAGGAAACATGAAGTAATTATGTATTATGACGGTATTAAAAAGGATTTTGCAATACTTACCGCAAACATGCATCGCTACCAAAAGTGAAACGAGAAATGGCACATCCATGTTCATTAACTATCACAGACAAGATACAAATGGGAATATGAGTTTGAGGAGGTCGCTAAATAATCTGTTCTCATTGCATCACCAGCAGAATTGTTTGTCCTTGTGAGCTAAACCTGAGGTCAGCGACATTTTATAGTGTACACGATGGTTAAAAGCATGATCTAATTTAGAATCGCGACGTCTCTGCCAGCTGTCGAAACGTCTCCACCTTTGACGATGATCTCATAAATATTCACAATTTCGTAAACATCCGTGTCTAAGTTATTAAGACTGTGTACTCACACACCCACACAATGTCACTCTAGTATATAGAAAGCATTAGAATATATGTTTGGAGTATGCTCTTATGCTGTTTGTCGATGTAAGTTATATTGTTAGAAACATAGCAAAATATTTGATGTTGTCATGAAACCATTTTCGTATATAACTTGGAATGGAACCACAATTCAATATCATTTTGACATATTGCATTACAGGACATCATCACGTGAAACCGATAATTTCGTGACAGTATTTATTCACCATGAAACAAAAACATATCTAAGCATCACGTCTATTATATAACATTGGTAATTAATCTGAATCCAAACAATGTGAAAATAATGCTTTGAAATGTTTTTTTCATACTAAACATTTTGTAGGTAAGTACGTTGTTAACTTTCGGTTAAGATGATTTATGAGAGACTATGTCTTTACTGGTGCAAGTTTGGATCAAAGGTAGCATTAGGAAGATCGATGTCTGATACATAAAGTTAGTATATCAAACTGGAAACAGAACGTGACCTCATTAATAACATTAAACACATCTCATACACGTTCATGTGTAACGTGATTAAACAACACAGTTGTCAAATACCTAACGGATTTGTGATTATTGATAGGCATGCAAACACATGTTTCACTATAACATAAACGTGTTTGACAGCTGTGTGTTGACGTGCTGACGATGTCAATGATATGGTATGTTTCTCGTTAAACTGGACATCGTTATCGCTATCGACATATCAACACCCTTTTTCTTTACGAGGATCTTAATTTTTAATGATCACATCCTCCGATCCTTGAATGACATGAAATTAACTTCCTTTAGTTGATTTGTTTTATAAATTCAAATTAAAGTGGTGTTGTCTGATATTGGTTATGCATTGCATCACTTTCACCAACAGGAAAACACGTTTGAAGTGCTGAAAATATATACGTTATAGGTTAACCGTATTATCGTGAGAAGTTGATAATTTGTAATCACGAAATGTGGTTTTCTATAACGTCACGTAGCAGTCATTAGCATATATGTAAACATTTATTATGCTAATTGCAATTTCTAATACAACAAGGCGATGTCATTTAAAAAAAAAAAACATACTATAATACGAAATGAAGAACAACCTATTTCATAAGGCAGTAAGTCAATGTTAAAACCAACCAAAGAACATATATTTAATATATATATCTACGGTCAGTCCCTTCGTTCATTTCATTCCGGTCCCAGCAATGATTCGAAAGATGAAAGGGATTATATGTCTTAAATATTTAAAATAAAGAGTGAAAAGGGGAAATGTGCCATACAATTCTATATCCCGTTACATATTGTTTACAGTTTACATATTGCCGATTGCACCAGGTGACTCTTATTGTATTTGCATGTTTAATTTATTATAATCATGATTAACTTTTCCCCTTACGAGACAGTTTATACACGGCTCCAGCCTCTGTGAAAACAAAGAGCAACATACCATAGCGTTATCACTAAAGGGTAAAATCATTATCTACTCTCGATACATAAAGATACTACGCGTCAAACTGATACCACAACAGGTGAAACACATCAAGAACACCAGTAAGAAAAGCAAAGGCGGAATCAGGTATTTCAGCAGAGTAAGCATTTTGCTGCACCCCATGTGGTATATGTATTGACACGATAGATGATATTAACTACTAAAGGTACTGAAATACCTTATATGAATTTAGGAAAAGCTGACGTCCAACGGTTCGGTTTCAATATCACGTATTTAAATAGGACAGTCATCCAACGAATACATATATGTTAACTTTAATAAAAGAAAGATTCTGTTTTGGTTATAAACTTGGGACGGAAATATCTTCATGTTAATTATCAACTGTAATGCGTTGAACATTATTTCATATTTAAGGCAATTTTCAAAATCATATGTTGGCATAACGGTTCTTTCGTGTCATTGGAATAAATTCTCGTGAATAAATAAAGTGTTAGGTAGTAGAGTCTTGTTTCTGGTAAGGTTAGGCTAATATTCTAATGGCTTGTGTATAAACGTTACTTAAAACTGATGAAACCTAATTTGTTCAAAACAAATCAGGGCCCGTGATTCTGTGCTCAAACCCAACTTCGTGTGCCAGTGGTAAATTAATAAAAAAAAATCCTATTTTGTCAATGTTATGTAAGAAATCTGGAGAGACTTTATGTCGAATTTCATTGTTACACTTAACTGTTTGACCGTGTTACATGAAATAAGGGAGTTACAAGAAAGTCAGGTCGAGCACAAAATTCATGCTTAAGCATGAAAACAGTTTAATGAGTACGGACCCTGGCCACGTCTACGGCCAACACATGTGTGGTTTAATGAGTACGGACCCTGGCCACAACTTCGGCCAACACATGTGTGCTTTAATGAGTACGGACCCTTGCCACAACTACGGCCAACACAGGTGTGGTGTAATGAGTACGGACCCTGGCCCCAACTACGGCCAACACATGTGTGGTTTAATGAGTACGGACCCTGGCCACAACTTCGGCCAACACATGTGTGGTTTAATTCGGAGTTAACGTCACCTCTACAGCTATGTCATATGTATACCACATACGAATGTCAGCAGGTGATTGGACCAATCAACGACTATAAAATTTATCGAACTGCAGTGCCAGTATCAGGACACAGGAGCATGTCACCCAAACGGATAACATTATCTGTACACCACAGTTAACCTGGAACGTATAGGGCAAACTCGTACTGTCAAATATAAAAGGATACATAGTGTTATTTTTTATTTTTATTTTTTCAAATAGAAACTTTATTTATTTAACAACAATTATTTCAGCTTATACTAATCACTCTTGTTGGCCCGGATGTTAGCGCGTGGGGGTCTTAGTGTAGGAGGAAACCGGAGTACCTGGAGAAAACTCACGTGGTCAGGCAGGTGCCCCCAACCCTTTCACGTCCGATCGGGAAATCGAACCCCGGCCGCCCTGTTGAAAGGCAAGTGCGCTATCCACTGCACCACCCAATCACCCTTCTAACATAATAGTGTTATAAGCATATCACTTTGGCAATTAGTTATTAACGATCACATTTAATAATCATGACATTTATTAGAAACAATTAGCATAACCATTAAGTGGTGGTTATTAATTATTGCAAAGTAAATAAGCATTTGTGACGGACACGAAACTTGTCACGTACACCAATTTTTTTTTATAATAAAATGTACGTGCTACTTTAGCCACACAGGTAAGTTTCAAAATTGTTTCTCACTTATCAGTGACGTCACATTTTGCAGAAGGATGACCGTAAAACCTTAACACAGTAATGCTGTTTTATTTATAATTTTGGTATATATGCAGCATGTAAAGAGTGAATTAAACTGTACGATCAGCTGTTTTGTCCTTCTATGACTCATTGTTGATGTTACATACCAACAATGTGAAAATCTGTATTTTATCTTATATTTAATATGCATGTGTAATATATATGAACTATAATGAATTGTAATTATAATGTGAAATACCACTTGTCGAAACAGAATTAGAGGTACGTGCAAACCCTTTATTATTATGATATAGTTACATTAATATGAACCTCCATGTTACCAGTGTTGTGATAACAAGGTACATTGTATCATCTGATCAACTATCTAGATATTTATGTTATCCTTAACACTGTTAGTGTTATATTACAACCGTGTTGTCTCGTAAAGAAATAAGTCTGTAATTGGGTGATCATATTAAAACCTTATACTTTCAAAGACGAACATCTTTCTTGAAGAAAGTATTTCTATTCTACATTCTACAGCATGTAGTCGCGATGACAGGTTCATAGAGCTAGTCATACCATGCCAATATACAAGTGAACTAGTACTTTCAAAATCACGTGTGCATATGGTATGTTTTTTTCCCCCAAAGAAACAGTAGTAATATAAAGAGATTTAAAAATCTATTGTCTTCAGAATAATATTCGGGGGAGAGATTTGAGATATAGAAAAAAAGTATATGTGTGTCACGCTCGCATATGTATATATACAGGTGGTAGGTATTTTGTGATGTTTTGTATGTAATGTTTGTGTACGTGTGTTATTTGGTGGAACGCTACCTAGAAAGCGGTAAGATAAGTATGTTCGAAAACACGCGAGAGGTACCGGGGGAAGAAACTTTGAAACATGGCGGTATTGCATGTTCACATGGAGAACAGACAATATTATATACTTTCATATGCCGCTCCATGAACAAAGCACAGAAAGCTGACTGTGGTAAGTGTTTAACCCATGTTTGTTGATGTCCCGTGTATTCGGTCCGCTTGAATTGTGTAATTTACCTGATGGAGACCGGTCAAGCATTCTTAGGTGGTGCGGTCCACTCATGCGTGACTGAGTTGTTTATGTGTGCATTTCGTCTATAAACCATTTTACACGTGTTATAATTGTAATAATCGGTATATATTGGCTGTATGAAGAAGATAATTGTGTGTTACTTGTGTGTAAATTATCAGAAACTTAGATGTTATTGTACATTACATTATGTGTGCGTATGCATTATATGTAGGTACGGAGCCCCATAGGTGACATGTTAGGTGATTGCATGCTGTGGACCCGCACGAATTCTTAATTGCTAGTTTGCTAACATTTCGCTTACTATGTTATCAGCATTTAGTGTATTCTTTGTGATCTTAGTTACGTAATTATTCTAAATATCAATATCCTTTTAGGTATTCGAAATGTCGGTTTGTGAGAATTATAAAAGTATGGAAGCGCGTGGGTGAAATAAATGTGAAGTTAAAATATGTGAAGTGACATTCAAATTACGGGAATTTATATGGATTTTCGTCATCTTCTGTCATATTTTCCATCTTTTGCCAGCTTTCTACCCTGGGATTATCTGGCGGATCATCTGTTGAACAGACCAGCCGACACACGAGACACATCTGACCATGATATGGTCATTTGGGT